AGCAATCAAGATGAATCCCCAGGCTGCTCTACCTCCTCAGAAATTTGCCAATAGATGTGAGTGACCACCAGTTCATTGAATGGGATAAATGGATATCCAGATTTATCTGGCAAGGCCGAAAGCCAAGGATTAAGTACACCACCCTCCAGCTTTCCAAGGAACAGAGAGGACTGGGTCTTTTCTGCCTCAGGAACTATTACTACGCAGCTCAGATAACCCCCCCTTCTATTCTAGTGTGACAAATCATACGTGGCTAGGTGGAAGCAACTTGTCAGTCCGCTTTCCCCTACAGGCTGCTATTGCAGACAGGGGTCTAATGTGCCAGCTGGAAGGGCTGGGCAACCCCTAGCTGGCCCACACCCTTCAAGCCTGGCAGAAGGTTATCAACATTTGTGGGCTACAGAAAATGTTAAGCATTTTTAGGTGGTTTGATCTTTGATTCAGATTTCGCTCCAAATAGACAAGACTAATTTAAAATCATGGATGAATTATGATCTCACAACATTTCTTTCTCTTACCCATAGAAACACTGTTATCAGCTTTGAGACCTTACGAAACAAACATGCGTTGACACATCGTGACTTTCACAGATATCTACAGTTGAGATCATATATCATTCATGAGTGCAAATTGACTGATTTTACAGATGCTGAGTCACTTCTTTCCCTTATCTTGAAAAGTGCTTTAACTATGACACCAACTAAATCGATCTCAAAACTATACAAAGCCATCTCTAGTGTCGGTGAGGCCAACACTTTTTATATCAAGGACAAATGGGTGAGGGAATTGGGAGCTGATATTTTCTCAGAGTGGAGCAAAACTTGGTCTTTCCTGTGAGAGCTGGAGGGAACATGGCTGGAAGAATATTATAAGATATTTAAAAAACCCATATCAGCGGAGATATCAAGGCACCCATGCTGGAGACAACGCAGCGCTACTGCTGCTAATCATTTGCATATTTTTTGGGACTGTCCCAGGTTAAAGGAATTTTGGACGGGAGTTCAGACCTCGTTAAATACAGTTTTGAACATTCAAATCCCTTTGGACTTTAAGGTTTTATACATGGGGCTTGTCCCCTTTCTGAAATGTAGGAGTGAGATTAAGTTGGTGCAATTACTCTTGGTGGCATGTAAGAAAACAATAACGAGAAGATGGCTGAGCCCTGTCCTCCCCACACTGGATGATTGGTATGGGATCATCTTAGAGATATTTAGGATGGAAAAACTGACATATTTGTTAAATAACCGGAAGACCAAACTCTATGAAATCTGGAACAACTGGATCTTATTCATTTCCCCCTCAAGAGCAGACTTTATGTGATTCAGCTGTTAAGCAACTTTTTGTAACCTAGTAATTTCATTTCCTTTTTTGGCAGCAGCACAGGCAACCCCTCTGTTCTTGGTTATGTTTACTGTTCCATATAAATGTGTTTCACCCTTTAACTATTACAGGTTCCCCTCTCGATCACAGTCACTTTTCAGTAGTTTAGATAGTAAGGGACTCTCCTTGATACTCCTCTATGAGGGATGGGATGCTCTTGCCGTCCACTACTCATCTTGGATTCAATTGGGGAGGGGGAAAGGAGGGGGGAAAAAACAAAACTGGAATGACGATGTTCCTATGTCATTTACATCTTGTCTTGTTTATTGATATATGTTCATTCCAAATAAAGATAATAATAAAAAAAGAGATGATGGATGGATGCATAGATGATGGATGGATGGATGCATAGATGATGGATGTATAGAGGATGAATGATGGATGGCTGGATGCATACATGATGGATGTATAGATGGATGGATGGATGAATGGATGCATAAATGATGGATGTATGGATGGATGAATGGATGCATAAATGATGGATGGATGGATGCATAGATGATGGATGGATGGATGGATGGATGCATAAATGATGGATGGATGCATAGATGAATGGATGGATGCATAGATGATGGATGCATGCATAGATGATGGATGGATGGCTGGATGGATGCATAAATGATGGATGGACGGATGGATGCATAGATGATGAATAGATGGATGCATAGATGATGGATGGATGGATGCATAAATGATGGATGGAAGCATAGAACATGGATGGATGGATGCATAGATGATGGATGCATGCATAGATGAATGGATGGATGGATGCATAGATGATGGATGGATGGCTGGATGGATGGATGCATAAATGATGGATGGACGGATGGATGCATAGATGATGGATGGATGGATGCATAAATGATGGATGGATGCATAGATGATGGATGGATGCATAGATGATGGATGGATGGATGCATAGATGATCGATGGATGGATGGATGGATGGATGCATAGATGATCGATGGATGGATGGATGGATGGATGGATGGATGCATAAATGATGGATGGATGCATAGATGATGGATGGATGCATAGATGAATGGATGGATGGATGCATAGATGAATGGATGGATGGATGCATAGATGATCGATGGATGGATGGATGGATGGATGGATGCATAAATGATGGATGGCCTGCATTTGATGTAGTGCCTTCTAGAGTCCTGTAACCCCCCAAGGCGCTTTACAACACAATCAGTCATTCACACCCCGGTGGTGATGAGCTACTTTGTAGCCACAGCTGCCCTGGGGCGCACTGACAGAGGCGAGGCTGCTGAGCACTGGCGCCATCGGTCCCTCCGACCACCACCAGCAGGCAAGATGAGTTAAGTGTCTTGCCCAAGGACACAACGACTGCGACAGACTGAGCGGGGCTCGAACCTGCAACCTTCTGTGCCACCGTCGCCCCATAAATTATGGATGTATGCATAGATGCCTGCGTTGATGGGTGTTTGGGTGGAGTTTTTATTTCAAGGTTGCTAGTTAGAGTCCTAACCATCGTTTCCATTCATATTTACATGTTATATTGGAACAAAGACCTTGGAGCTGTTTGATCCAAACATCTGAATCTCATCAGATACATGGAAATAAATGAGCAGAGGCGTTTTAGACCTTTGGCCCAAAGGTGAAGGGAGTAGATTGTATATCCATGCAGGTAAACAAACGAAGTCACCTGGTCACCGAAGTCAAACCTGTCAGAAGGGTTTAGAAACCAAACTCTGATGTTGGAATTATGTCATTTTGTGTAGAATCTGTGTTTCAGTGTCTTGCTTTTATCCCGTTTGTCTTCTCTTACATCCCACTAATGCCAACAGCGGGCATCATTCATCCCTCAGCGTCTCTGATTTTATCATCGTTTCCTGGACACACACCAAACATCTTGTTTGCAGTGTATCTATGACAATAATTGATTTTCTCTGCCACCCGGCAGCTGTCTCGTAGTATTTGAATAACAAATCCTGCTCAGGAGTTCAAAACAACTTTCTGTTATCAGTAAAAACTTCAGCTGAGGGCTGCTGATCCAGTTTGGATCTGGATCACCGCTGAAGCCGAGCAGCGTGGGTGAAAAGAGAGCAGGTGAAGCAGATGGAGGGATGCTTCTTCCTGGTTTAAAACAATGATCAGAGCTGTTTCATTATGGAACAAAGTCATAATCTAGATTAGGTAAAACAGTCACTCAGAGTTTAGCTTTCTTCTTAGCAGGAAGCACACTGGGATGCTGTGACAATAAGGGCACTATTTTGCCCTGGGTACTATGTTCTATATCTTGAGCGATGGAGGTATCGCCTTGACTCATCACTGCTCAACTCATTGGTGGCAGCATCACAAATGACTCAAACTCAGGTCCTGACTAGGCAGTCTTTAGCACAGTAGTGGTCTGCGACTGCTGGCCCACTTCCTATGTCGCCTAGTTGCGGTGCGCCTCACCTTTCTGGATGCCACCGTAGACAGACTCTCCCTGCTCAGGGGTTTATGGCTCCAAGTTTTCATGGTCGATGCCGGTCGCTTTAAGAGCACCCTTGCAGACGTCTTTAACTGGCTGGAACAAGATTTGCAGGGTCGCGATAAAACAACATCACACACCTTCTGTGTGTTTTGCCCTCATTCTGCCACTCAAAGTGAAGAGAACGTAAGAGCGTTTTTGTAGAAAGTGTCATAATGATCTGATCAGTTTGGTCCTGGTCAGAACCTGGACCTGATGCTTAGTGCTTTTATGTGTGATTTTTAGACATTTTGTCCCTGAGTTTCATCTCCCAGGCTACGCGTTTCTGTGGGTTTTAGCTTGGGGTCAAGTTTTTTGTCCCGATCTGAACCATTAATCTTTTTTTTTTCCAGTTTCAACTCCAAATTATGCTTCACTCCACAGATATTAAACATAAACCCTTTGAAATTGATTGTATTATATATATATTGGTGTGCTCATAGACTTGCTGCAGGACACGAAGGAAAATGATGCGAATTCAACCGAGAATAAACCGGAAAAACAAGCTGAGAAGGAAAAGTGAAGTCCAGACTGGTTTCCGTCATGATTCACCAGAACAGAAGGAGCCTGCAGAGACTTGATACTGATGCAGCTGAGTGAGCGTCGTGTCGGCTCTTGTCCTGATTGTTGCTTTGAGCTGAATGAACGTGCACCAGAAATGCAGCCGGAGCAGAAACGACAGGAACTTCCTCTGGTTTCTCTCATCGCTCTGCTCTTCTTCTCCGAGTTCTCATCGTGTTTGAAGTTAGAAACCCGCCTGAAGTTTAAACTGAAGCTCTTATTTCACAGGCTTGCAGAAACAAATTGTCATTTGACTAGATGAAAACATTAGTGTAGATTATTTCTCTTTAACACTAAAGGAGCAAAAACCAGTCAGATTGATTCAAAAACGGGTCACAGTCTGATGCAGCTCCACAAAACAAAAAGCAGCTAATCCGTCGAATCTCCCACGGACTGGAGGGGACGGCTGGGATCGCACTTCACAACAAACTCGCTGAGTTTTGCTACATCTGGGATATTTTTATTACAAAGACACTAGAAGTAATGACTTCCTTCAGGGTTACATTTTTATGTGACAGTTTTTACTTTGAGTTTAATGAAGCTCAAGGAAAAATAATTGACCTTTTTCCTGCAGGAGGTGGCGGGAACAGAAAAGGAAAGAGCAAAAAATGGAAGCAGATGCTTCAGTTTCCACACATCAGCTTGTGTGAGGAGCTCCGACAGACCACAGGTAAGCACCTTTCCACGTCGGAGACAGGTTTGGTCCTCAGTGACCTGGCCGGGTCTGAACGAACCCCTTCAGGAGCAGTGGGAAAAACCAGGGAACTGGCTCGTGTGAAAGGAGCTCTCATTACCGCTGAGACATGAAATAATCATGTTTAAATATCTAGATTAAAAGGCTGAAGTATTTACTGGCTAATCCTAATATAACGGACCTGGAAGGTTGCAGGTTTGAATCCCAGCTGTGGTCTTTTTGCATGGATTTTGGATGGCGTCCTGATGCTTGCATGGGTTTTCTCCAGTTTCGCCCCACAGATAAAAAAAAAAACATGCAAGTCAGTTTAACTGGAGACTCGGTCTCTGCGTGTCCCTGTGACTGAAGACCTGTCCAGGGTGTCCCCCGTCTCATGTCTGATGAGTGCTGGATTTACACACCAGCTGAGTCACTTTATACTAGGAATAATAAATACAGGTTGGCTCGTACCACCTACAGATCACCGGGTAACTGGTTAACTGTTGTTTAACTCACTTTCAGGCCAAACGACCCCAAAGGCTCTCAGCTTTGACTTGTAGATAAATAAAAAAGACTTTTGAAGACGTGTAACGGAGAACCGGCGTTTTCACCGAGTTAAATCGTGTTTCAGCTATTAGCATTGCTAACTGTTAGCATAGCTGTTATTTGTCATCAAACGAAAAAGACCTGAATAAAAGCAGATGAACAAAAGGACAGCAGACGGGCCTGGTACTCACACCTGCAGTGTTTAAAAACAGGTTAAAACTGCTGATTCAGCTGATTATGTGTGAATACAGCTGTGTTTACAAGATGATAATAGGCTGTTAAACTGATGCTTTTGATGTGAAACCAGCTTAAACTAGTTACTAACTCACCTGCCTGTAGTGTCTAGTGGTTAAAGCTTAACTTGTTCTTACTCAGAGAGACTTGGACGTTTTGCAGAAAACGTGAGAATCGCTGAACGTTCTCTAGTCCATTATATGTCACCACAGTTACGTCTCACTACGAGTTCACTGGTGACACCAGAGGAGGTGTCGAACAGACGACCGACCGTAAGACGGAAAAACCGTCATCACCATCGGCGATAACCTGTCCTTACGTGGACCGGAGGACCAAACCCATTCAGACGTCAGCCCAAACAGTCTCTGAAGACAGAAGCAGCTCATCTTGCTAAAGTGACACCACACAGAGGAAACTGTGGGCTGTGCAGAAAGAGGAAGCAGACCTCTGCTTGTGCTCTTTTAAATATGCAGTAAAGTTACTTTGTTTTTCAACACCAGATTACAGATTAGAGCATCGAAATTCTGAATGGAAACCAGATTCTGATGCCAGGTTAAGTTTTGAGGGTTGAAGTAAATGTGAATGTTTCTTCCTCTGCGGTGGTTTCTAGATTTAACATTTATGATCTTAGACGCCTGAATGTTGGGAAAGAGTTTGTCTAATCTATGAATGTTGCCACAAACATGTTTTGTTATAAAACGCATTAATGCAGATAAAGTTATAAAATACTAAACTTTATTCCATTAAATTCCACTTAAATGGAAAACTGCTGACACTGTGTCCATTGAGCCAATATTAGATTTATTTACTCAAGATAAAAACATATATGGTTGGAAATTTAGTGACAAAGTAAACACAAAATGTGTTTTTAGGGCAAAGAAGCGAGCTTTTAGCTAGAATAGAGCATCTGGAGGTAGCTGCATGGAAGTTTATTCTGTTAATTGCAATTCAAAAGTTGCGCCACTAGATGTCACTAAAACGGTCCCATTTTTAAAGTCTTTGGTATGACTGGGATTTGAACCCCGATCTCCCAGTGCCAGGGCGGACACTCCACCACTGAGAAGGTTTTCTCATCTTTAATTGCAGATCTAACAGATGGCTCATGTTTACAGGCTCATATATCTAATCATCCAATCAGATGGTAGCATTTATTCAAACGAAGCATCAGAACGGAGATTTAAGGGATTTTGAATGTGGTTGCTTTCAGAAGCTGCTGGTCTGCTGGGATTTGAACCGACAACCCTTTCTGGGGTCTATAGAGACTGGTTAGACTGGTTCTACGCAATACAAAGAATACAGTAGCTGAGATCAGCACTAGTTCCTGGTCTGCAGATGCACACTAGCTGCTCCAGATGGACCCCAGCAGAAGAAGACCACACCAGGTGTCCCTCCTGTCAGCTAGGAACAAGAACCTGAACAGGAGATGTTCTTGTCCCACTCTGGACCCCTCAGTACCATCTGAGCCTGCCTTTAACACCACAGCCTACTCGAGTCTTGTTGCCGACCACGTCCATCCCTTTATGCTCACATGGACCCATCTTCTGATGCTACTTCCAGCAGGATAAAGTTCCATGTCACAAACCTCAGAGGTTCAGGCTACATGGGGTGACTCTTTGAAGGTGCGGAACACTGAAAAACCCGGTTTTGATGATTATTTCGGATTCTATCGGGTCACTCTGAGTGTTTCATGCAGGCTGAACATGAAAATAGTCTCTTACACCTATCTCCTGTATTAGCTTCTGATAGAAAACAGACGGTGAAACTCTAGGATTAGAATAGCGTGATAGATCTACGTCGCACGTTTTTTTATACTTTAGGGCTCGTTTGTTGGGAGATTTAAGTGCTAAATATAATTTTGGAGGAGGTTTGAACTCAAATTTTAAGAAATTTGGTAAATTAAATGAATCAAAGACACAAATTCAGCTCAGCAGACGATCTAGAAAAGATGATGATTCACTTTGGGGAACTGAAGTTTTTATAGATTTAGAACACGAGAACAGCTGCCAGCTCCATTGTTGGTAGGTCAAAGTTCATGAGAAGTACCTCGGTACCTGCCGGTGTTGTGTCTCGAAGCAGCATGTGATGTGAGTATGATGAGACTTATTACGAGCTCCCATTCATACGTTCATTTATGGTGTTTTTGTGTTGAGGTGTCGTTTCATTCGGGCTGTAGCGTACGCTCAGAGCAAACACACAGCTCATTGTCAGGAGGAAGAGGAGGAAGACGAGACAGATTGTGACCTGTGATAAAACTTTTTTGCCTCAAGCTGCAGAGAGGGGCCGGAGAGACGGCGCTCGAATGAGAACAGTGGAAAAATAAAAGGTTTTCTGTGGTGCGGTTAGTCTAATTTGCTAAAATGTTTATTTTTAGCAGTCATGGCTTCCTACCTTGAACACGAGCCAGATGGAAGCTGAGAGAACTGATGAAAAATAATTATTAAAACACGTTTGTCACAATCTGCTTTGTCACTTCCTCCAGATCTAAAGGCTAAACTCGCATGCGTCCGTGGAGTTTTAAGGAGTTGACATGAGTAAAGACTACAGAATGAGGGCAAAACACAACGGCGATGCTGCCAAAACATCCACCTCTGTTATTTTCTATTGGATGAACTGTGATGGGATATTGTCTGACTTGTTGTTTGGACCTCTGTAGCAGCTCTTCTCTACTTTTATAGCAGCACTGTCTGTCCACATTTCTCACAACAAATCAAGCATGTGTAATCACTTTGTGTCTAGATGTGATTAAAACTGATAGTGAGTGAGGACATTAGGTAAATTTTCTAAATAATTAAACAAATATTTAATTAATTTGTAATAAAACTTTGGTATAGATTAAAATAGATAAAATTTAAATGACAACATTGCGTGGTCATCGGGGGCAGTTCCTAGGGAGTGGCAGACCGGGGTGGTGGTCCCCATCTTTAAGAAGGGTGACCTGAGGGTGTGTTCCAACTATAGGGGGATCACACTCCTCAGCCTCCCTGGAAAGGTCTACGCCAAGGTACTGGAGAGGAGGGTCCGATCGATAGTTGAATCTCAGATAGAGGAGGAGCAATGTGGTTTTCGTCCTGGCCGTGGAACTGTGGACCAGCTCTATACCCTTGCAAGGGTGATGGAGGGGGCATGGGAGTTTGCCCAACCAATCCACATGTGCTTTGTGGATTTGGAGAAGGCTTATGACCGTGTCCCCAGGGGCACCCTGTGGGGGACGCTCCAGGAGTATGGGGTGGGTGGCTTTCTGTTAAGGGCCATTCAGTCCCTTTACCAGAGGAGCGTGAGTTTGGTCCGCATAGCCGGTAGTAAGTCGGACCTGTTCCCAGTGAGGGTTGGACTCCGCCAGGGCTGCCCTTTGTCACCGGTTCTGTTCATCACTTTTATGGACAGAATTTCTAGACGCAGCCGTGGTGTGGAGTGTGTCGAGTTTGGTGGCAGGAGAATCTCGTCTCTGCTTTTTGCGGATGATGTGGTCCTCCTAGCTTCATCCAGCTCTGACCTTCAGCTCTTGCTGGGCAGGTTCGCGGCCGAATGTGAAGCGGCTGGGATGAGGATCAGCACCTCCAAATCTGAGACCATGGTTCTCGACCGGAAAAGGGTGGCTTGCCACCTCCGGGTCGGGGGAGAGGTCCTACCTCAAGTGGAGGAGTTTAAGTATCTCGGGGTCTTGTTCACGAGTGAGGGTAGGAGGGATCGGGAGATCGACAGGCGGATTGGTTCGGCGTCTGCAGTGATGCGGACGCTGAGCCGATCTGTCGTGGGGAAGAGGGAGCTGAGCCAGAAAGCCAGGCTCTCGATTTACCGGTCGATCTACGTCCCAATCCTCACCTATGGTCATGAGCTTTGGGTAATGACCGAAAGAACGAGATCGCGGATACAAGCAGCCGAAATGAGTTTCCTCCGTAGGGTGGCCGGGCTCAGCCTTAGAGATAGGGTGAGGAGCTCGGACATTCGGGAGGGACTCGGAGTAGAACCGCTGCTCCTCCGGATCGAAAGGAGCCAGTTGAGGTGGTTTGGGCATCTGGTCAGGATGCCTCCTGGACGCCTCCCCGGGGAGGTGTTTCGGGCATGTCCTGCCGGCAGAAGGCCCCCGGGTCGACCCAGGACACGTTGGAGAGGTTACATCTCCAATCTGGTCCGGGAACGCCTTGGGGTCCTGCCGGAGGAGCTGGTGGACAAGGCCGGGGAGAGGACGGCCTGGAGCTCCCTAATTGGGATGCTGC